CTTTAAAGCATTGAGAACCCCTAACAGTAAACTGTTTGGGGAAAAAGTGTTCTATCCTGGCTCTGGGCACGCTAGTCACCTGCAACTGTTCAATTTCCGGATTGGTCCACTTCTGATGTTGTTTACCCTGGGGGTGCGTACGTCACGAAACACGGCAAAGATTCTGCTTGTTTTGCTCATCCTCCACTCTGAATTTCTCAGCCTCCTGGACCATGCGATCAATTTCAGACTGTGACAGTCGCCCTTTCTCGTTGGTGATCGTTATCTGGTTCGACTTGCGAGTAGACTTGTCAGAGGCACTCACATTCAAAATGCCATTGGCATCAATGTCAAAGGTAACCTCAATCTGTGGCACACCACGAGGGGCTGGAGGAATGCCATCCAAGTTGAACTTACCAAGCAGGTTGTTGTCCTTGGTCATGGTTCGCTCACCCTCAAAGACTTGGATCAATACACCTGGCTGGTTATCTGCATAAGTTGTGAACGTCTGTGCCTTTTTTGTGGGGATCGTCGTATTTCTTTCGATGAGCTTGGTCATCACGCCACCTGCCGTCTCCAGGCCCGTGGACAAAGGAGTCACATCCAACAACAAGAGGTCTTGGACAGCGGAAGAGCTCTCACCCGAAAGAATGGCCGCTTGCACTGCTGCTCCATATGCCACGGCCTCATCTGGATTGATGGACTTGTTGGGCTCCTTACCATTAAAGAACTCCTGAATCATGGACTGCACCTTGGGGATGCGAGTGGAACCACCCACGAGCACCACATCGTGGACACTCTTCTTGTCAATTCCAGAATCCTTGAGGCACTTCTCCACGGGGCCTATCGAGTTCCGGAAATAATCCATGCATAGCTCCTCAAAACGAGCCCTGGACAAATTGCAGGAATAGTCAATTCCTTCAAACAGAGAATCGATCTCAATCATCGCCTGAGTAGAAGAAGACAACGTGCGCTTGGCACGCTCGCACTGCGTCCGCAAGCGTCGGATGGCACGCTGGTTCCCTGACATATCCTTGTTCCGATTCTTGCGCTTGAAGTCCTGAATGCAGAAGTCGACGATTCCTCGGTCGGGCTGCGTGGGACGATGCAGGGATTCTGGCCCGTGAGGCCTGTGATCCAGGAGTTGATTCAGAATTGACTTCGCAATACTTCTGATACGGCTATGGCATTCAAAACAGGGTACTGTCCAACGTGGAAAACATTGATAAAGCGATCAAAAACCTGCGGGCTTTTGGGTGTTCTGTTTTCAGTCACAGCCATATCTTTGGACACCCTACTACAATATGCCTACATCTATTGACATACATCAGGGGTCCCAGGTCAAACCTCACCAACCAAAACAATCCATACACCCATACACGCCAAAAATACTATCTTAAACACAACTGCAAGCAAGTAGCGGTTGTCAAAGTCCTGGCCAGAACAGGCGTGAGCGGGTCATTGGTGTCTCAAGAAGCTGCTACGGGGGCTGACTGGTGTGCCGGTGGTTTAACCTGGATATGGATATAGAACAAGTCATTGTGGCTGTCGGGTACACAATATGTGAGCAACAACCGCAGTGTTCATTAAACGGGCAAACACCCAAAAAAATTGGTCCTCACCACCCAAGTGGGTGTCGCCCGCAGTGGCCTTCACCTCAAAAATACTATCCTCAATAGTTAGGAGGGACACGTCGAACGTGCCTCCGCCCATGTCAAAGATCAACACATTGCGTTCGCCTGCACCTTTCTTGTCAAGGCCATATGCAATGGCTGCAGCAGTAGGCTCATTGATGATACGCAGCACATTCATACCAGAAATGGTCCCTGCATCTTTGGTGGCCTGGCGCTGAGAGTCGTTGAAATATGCTGGCACTGTCACAACCTTGGCAAAATGATCAAAAGGTAAGGTGATTCAACTGGTCACCAAGATTCAACCCTAATTGTCTTGAGTTGATTGATTGAATGTACTGCCACCAAAAAATAAGAACGTGTCCCAGGCTTGCTTGGATTCTGTTGGGTGCATCGTTGCGACACCAAGCAGACTTCACTTAAGTCTTTCATTGTCCAAGCCGATCAAATGTACGAGACTTCCACAGCAGAGCTGTATGGACACAAAGCGTGCGTTCACAAAGCGTGTTTGGAGCACCTGTTCAGTTCCGGTTGGTTCTGTGCAGCGGCTTTGTCCCCAGCGGTCAGACTCAGCGTTTAAGAAACCTGGTCCATGTGCACGTGCAAAGCTGCCAAGATGAAACAAGGTCGGCAACATTGGATCGTGCAACTTTGGATCTACCGTTGGTGGCAGGTGTGAACAGTTTGGCTCTTGCGAGAATGTTGTTGGAGGCCAATTGTTCAAAAGTGTTTTGTCCGGCCATTTCAACCGGGCCACACCTATCTCTGTCATATGCCACCAAAAACATACTAACTTAGAAGAAAAAAACTTGAAAAGGCAAGCTATTCGGACAGCAAACAAACTTGAACAAAAACCAAAGAGAAAGAACACTGGAAAAAGGTCGAAAGTGTTCTGCAAAGACTTAGCGGCTGCATCATTCACCTTGGTGCCCAAATAAGCCTCCGCTGTCTCCTTCATCTTGAGCAAGACCATTGAGGAAATTTCTTCGGGGTGAAATTTCTTCTGCTCTCCCTGAGCGTTGACGACAATGATCGGCTTGTCGCCCTGGCCACTCTCAACCTTAAATGGCCACAATTTGATGTCAGCCTGCACGACGGGATCTGCAAACTTGCGGCCGATCAAGCGCTTGGCATCAAACACCTCACATGCTCACCCCAAAAGCAAAAAAAATCGGTTCACAGACAGACAGGTACAATATGACGAGGACGACAACAACAACAACAATTATTGATAACTACTGAATGTTCACAGAAAATACATTAATCTCTCCAGTCAGGAACTGTGTTCTCCGGATTTCGGGCCACCTGATTCTTGGCTGCATCACCAATCAAGCGCTCTGTGTCCGTGAATCCAACATAGGATGGAGTGGTTCTGTTGCCCTGATCATTGGCGATAATCTCCACACCATCCTTGGACTTGCAAACCAACACAGGTTTGCCATTACAACGACCACAACGACCCATTGAATTGAATTGAGACAGCGCAAAAACGATTGCAAAGAACCTGAAACAAGCCAAAGAGTCATTCTTCCATACGCCCACACAGCTGTATGTTGTACCTGAATTTACACAACATAATGACAAAGCTTCAGGATGTGAAACGATAAAGAGTTTTACTACCCACTGAGACCAACTCAGATGCTTAAGTAGGGGCAAAAGCCCCACTGACAAAGCCACAAGGAAAGGAAGTGGCACATCATCGACGGGTCGGGCCACACGGCAGCAAAGGCAATCTAGACCAGAAGAAACGTGTTGTACGTGTTGTACGCTGTGTGAGTGAGGTAGGTGATTTAGGTGTGTGAGTCAAGCGCGTGATTGAGGTCAGTGATGGTCAGTGAGTAGGAGGAAGCCGGGAGAAGGGTACATGTTAAACGGGTAGGGGCAAAGGGTGTGGAGTCTAAAGGTATGGTCTGCTATGATGTTGGAAGTCCCCTAATTGATGCACGTTCTATCCAAATGCAGGCTCATTGGTCTCGCACGGCTCTATGCCAAGATACCCAAGTCAATGCCGATGGCGGTCTTCTTGGCCATGATGAATTGAGGTTCGAAAGAAGAATCGAACGGGCTGAGACTCAGCACTTTAAGCCAAAAATGCTAGCTGCAAAACACTGTGAAGACTAAGACGCAAAGCGAAAACAATTCGGAGACCCATGGCATGGCTCGCTCAAGTGAGACTTGTTATTGGGGTCTTCAGCCCTTCCTAAGTGCCATGCCTTCTTCAGCCCTTTCGGAAGAAACCCATCCATCCACCCCACCCGCCAACACCAGTCGCATCCAGTCGCCACGTCCGCTCCGACCCGCTCCGACCTCATAGGCTCGGGTGATCTCCTTGAACTTCTCCTGGTCACCGCCCTGGCCGCAGCGGAACACGGGAGGGGTGGAAACACATTGGAAGCAGGTCTCAGGAGTGAAACAGCCAAGGAGAGGATAGGAATGAAATGATTGGAATGAAAAAAGGCATAGGCATAGTTTAAAGAATTTGTTTTTATTAAACGGAATGTGTTTGGTTGCACGATGAAAAAGGATAAAAAATAAAAAGGGATGCAAACACCTTCCTGACAGCGAGCCGTCGGGCCTTGTCAGGGTGATGCTTCACAGCGAGCCGTCGGTACGCCTGGCCGTGCGTTGTCTCGCTCCTTTCGTGCAGGGTTTGTAGACCATCAAGGGTACACCAAGCCGTTCACCAAAAAGGAACAAGAAGCTACTAGGGGTTCCTGGCATCGCTACTAGGAGCAAGGACGCTACTGGGGGCTCCTGGCCGTACTACTAGGAGCAAGAAGCTACTAGGAACAAAAAGAAAAGAATGTGACATGCTTGCTTGCCAGACTGCCAGGTCACTCCTATTCTTGGAAGCTGTCCCACAGGGGTCGATCCACAGTGTCGCTCCACGACACTGCGGCAGCTAGCCAAGCTGACCATCAAACCGCTGCCTTCTTGATGTCGCCTTCGCTTGCACTCCTCAGCATCAGCGAACCTCCATTTTATCATGGCCTGGTGAGTATGCCCAATGTCCAACATGGAACAGCTGCACAACTTCATCTAGAGAAAAAAGAAAAATCCTAGGACTTTGAACAGTCCATCAGCTCAACACCCCATGTTTAAATGGGTAAGCCAATGACGACGACCACCTGAGGTAGCCTCACCTTACATAACCGCGAGCTGTCACCGCCCTAACCGCCTTTACCGCCTTAGCCTTGAGGAAACGCCGAGGGACTTGTCCACTTCCAAGAGCTTGTAGAACTTTGTGGTGTCGGCATTCTTTGATCGGCCTCACCACAAAGAATGATACCACACTGAAGCTTTTTGTTCTGTCCGCATCTGTCCGCGCTGTCCTGAATTTTTGTGTCAAGCACACTGAACCAAGTTCTCTCCCTCTTAGGTGAATCACGGCACGCATGTTCGGCCCTGCCTCCTCCTTTGCCGCCCATGCCTGGGAAGTCACCTTCATGCAACATGAGGACCCCCAGCCTAACCACCTTGCCGCACTAGCCTTCACCCTCGATCAAAGTTAATAAAAGTTCCCATATTTTGAGACACGTCCGCATGGAAAGAGGTCAAAGCTTGGTGTTAAACAGTGTCAAACTAAACCTTTTGACAACCATACAACAGGCCTGCAAGAAATGACAAGCCCACTCACGCCTCCTGGAAAGCCGCCAAAGAACATGGCTGACCTGGTGAGGAGCGCTTCAAGACCAAACCAAGCTCGCAGGGAACCCAATGTGAACAACTACCGGAAGACAATCATTATCTCGAGACCTTTCGGGTCAGCTTGGGAATACAATGTGTACCCACCAATCCGTTTTTAACTGATCAACTGACTCTAAGCAGCAGTGTCAATGTATCTGAAAGTAATCTTTGAAAGATGGCGTGTGACAGAAATGCAAGACATTGGAAGACTGTGAGTTCTGTCAAACATACTGCGATGAACATGGATGAACAGAACTGAGGGCTGTCTCAGGACCCCAAAGCTGACCTGTGTGGAAGGGAACAAAATCAAAAACGTCCCCAGCTGCATCCAAGGCGCTACTGGTAGCAATACTATGATCTACGTCAACTACTGCCTCCGAGTAGTTCTATTTTGGGCCAATGCTGACAGACAGCGATGGACAGTGGTGGCCAAGATCTGGCAGGACACACGAAAGCAGGAGCCGGCACTTTTTAGGTCCAACGACGAATCAATCAAGTCATGATGAGTCATATGAGTCATACACGCATGAGGGAACGAACCCTTTTCAATGAACCATCCTGCTAGTTCGTTGATCAGTTCAGCAGACCCGTTTCTATATCTGAACGACAAAAACCCGGCTGTACGCTAACACCACCGGCTGTTGTGACACTCCCTTCTGCTGGAGACCAGTTTCCAAATGGCTTGGACCCTGTCATCTTGTTGTATTGATTGGAAGATCCATCCGTATGAGGATGCTTCATTGACTTCGTGCATACACTCTTCACAAGACGGTCAAGGCAAACACATGCAATCAGCTTTTTGACACAGCTCAAGTGCTGGTGATTTCTTGACATTCTTTGAAGGTCAAGCCACTGCTGCTCGTGCTGCTGGAGCCTGCCAAGGGTTGGAGCCAACCTTGAAATGATTTCCACACTCAGGTACGTTCCTTAAACCCCAATGACTTTGGTTTGGGTTGTCGCCTTTCCTTCAAGGGCCGAAAACTGCATGTTGATGGTCCAACAAAACACCCAGCAGACCCAGCAGTTCATCCACTTCCGTTTCGAATACTGTCGACATGGACCCAAGCGTGTCCATGAAACAACCAGTGATCATCAACGAAAAGGGTATTTATATATATATATATATGTAACCCCCAAAAATCACACAATTTTTTTCACTTTCAGGCCTTCGGTTTTGTGTGTGAGGCTGAGACATGATACAGTGATCTGCGGAGCTTTGCAGACAACACGACAACAGCAAGGCTTGCGACAAGGCTGACTTCTTCTAGCTAACACACGTTGCTTGAGGAAACGCAAACTTAGAAGCCACTGTTGCGCGAAGCATATGAGGCTTTTATAGCTACGCAAAAGCCACTCATTGAGACTCGTGCGTTCATGTCGCAACACATGGAACAGCTACACGGCAGCTTAGTTCTCAAACAAGCCAGTTGTATCACGTTCTATCTACTATCCCAATCAGTGATCATCGAAGCGAAGAGCGGCTCAGAACCGAAAGATGCAAAATTGGACGTGTCATCAGTAAGCAGTCGACTACTCATCATCAGAAGCTTCGCCCACCATCCATTTCATCCAAATCCATCGCTTCATGTTCCTCATCTTCAGGAAGGCCCAACTCGGTGCTTCCAGGGTTCACGACAGGAAGGCAGGGAAGGCAAGGAAGGTAGGGATGTTTCTGTCCGAGGCCGTTTCGCTGGCGAGGAGTGTCCAATTCAAGCACTGTGGTGGGGCGTCTGGTTGGAGGATTGGCAAACTTGGTCAGTGGCTCCTTCTTGATTTCCCAATTTGTCCACCCATGGCTAGCTACACCAGCGCCCACGTCGACCGGAGATCTGCGACACTCATTTGCAAACCAAGCACGCCTGTCCTCGGGCTCCTTCTGAAGTCGTTGTCCTCGGCCTTGCGGAAATGCCTGAGCCTGCAGACAGGGCAAGGGTTATGAAGATGAACAAGGACAGACACTGCAGAGAAGCGCAGGGGTTTTGGCGCACACATGTATAATGGGTGGGCCGGGGAGCGCGGACGAGACGCTGAAGCTGGGCCACCCTCCAAGAAGTTCTTCAAGACTGGCTTGCAGGGGTTTTTGAGGGTGTCCGGTTTCGGCCCGCAGGTGCGCTTGACGGACATCACCTGCTGCGAAGGCAAGCAAAAATAGATGAATTTCTTGGAGAAGATGACGACGGCGCGCTTGAGGACAGCCACTGCACCAGTCAACGAGATATAGCCCAGAGCAGGGCGCATCACGCAGAAGAAGTCCTCGCACTGAACGGTCAGTCAGGCTGTCTCTGTCAAGTCGTCTTCAGGTTCGGCCTCTCAGGATTGTAGGCATTGTCTAAGACAATGCGAAGCTGATGTCTCACAAATTTCGAGTTGGTCCACCGCTCTCTGATCATGGCTTCCTCATCTGCAACATCTGCAAAAGCTTTCTTTTTCTTCACTGCCTCGCCCCCAATGTCTCCATCATCATAGAGAGCGGGAATTGCCGGAGTGAATTGGATGTCCTTGAAGAAATCCAGATCATTTGTAGAACGGTAGGCAGTAGGCGCCATCTCCAACGTGAAATCGACTAATCACCATAGCCACAATTCTTCCCAAGGGCGTTTTCCCTTTGCCTGGCTCACCCAACAACCACAAAGAATGAGTGCGAAGAACTGGCACAATGATCTCCACGATTTCCCGGACGTCAGGCCCGCATTACATCACGCATCGTGAGATCGTACCTAGTGGACAGCTTCGCAACACACCCATCGTTCGCCAAGGAATCCAAAGCACGCTGCACTAGCTTTTTGTGGATGGGTGACTGGGGATCATTGATCTGAGCATGAACCCAGCGGAGTTGCTTCAACCCAACTCACCATGTTCCATCAAGAAGTTCCACGCTGCCTCATCAGTTCTGGCGCTTTAGGCTTCACAACCCTGACCTCTGGACCCAAGGAGGAGCGTCGAATCTGGCTTCCGCCAAGCTGTTCTACAAGCCATTGAAAGCCTTTTTCGGGCAAGTTTCTTGTTGGCCCCGCCCCACTGAAGTTCATTGGCCTTGGAGAAGGGTTTTGATGTAGGCCCCCTTCACCTTCATCTTGTTGGAGGTGACGCGCACAGGCAGGCCGCAACTTCAACTGCATCACTGCCGCCAGTTCGTGCCACGCATGATCTCTCACACTGGCTTTGATATGGTTCCATTCCACCTGAGAAGGTTCGATGTCCAGCACCTTGTCCACGAAGTGGCGGAGCCCAAGTGAGTTTGAGTCAAGGTCTCGCAGTGGCAGATCCAAGGTGGTGATGGATCCTGGAAGCATGGGACCGACACAAACATGATCTGGCAAGTTACGTAGAGACATAGCCGAGGTGGCGCCGATAGCATCCTGCAGCCTGATGTTGCCAGGGTCGATAGAAACCAT